GTGAGTGGTTAAGAACCAAACTGAGATCGCAGGTAGTCAACACTTGGACCCCTGTGTGTAGGTTTGGAATGATTGACCCATAGTCCTACAAACTAGGCTTGCTGTGATCATTGCATAAACTGGAGTCTTGTTCATTTGTAACTGGCGCCTTTCCAAAACAAGACTGGCTCCTCAAAATCAGACTTTAAAATGGTAACAATACACCCAACAAAGCATTGTTTGGTGACGTGTTCGAATCGATCGCGCCGGAACCGCTTCTTTTGCTTCCCCAAGTTTGCAGTTCTCTGCAAAGGGCACAGCTTCATGTGCCAGCAGCTCAAGTGACCGCTTAGATCACCACATATCACCACTACAAACTTATTTTGAAACCCTGCCAACTTCAACATTAACTTCATGTTAAAATAGGTGTCCAAGAAAGGCCTTCGAGCCGCAAACCCTCAAAGAAAGCCTGACATACACTTGATCAGGCACCAGCGTGTCCAGCACGCATCACATCAGAACCCTCCTTCAAAATACGCTTCACAGCAGGGTGTTCTCGGGGACCTTCCTCCATGGCCCACCTTAACGCAACAACATATCATACAGATACACATTTCACCACATGGCATCACAAGGCATCATAATATGAAAAGGAACATCATGAAATCACCAAACATTGTTTCAGGCAGGATGCATAACCAAATTCGGAAACGAGGTGCACTACCAGAAGTCTTGGATTAACCAAGTCAAAAAAATCATCATAACTATGCAGCTATGCGCATCCTGTTACGCCCGGTGACTTGATCCGGGCATCGATGGCAGCCTGTTTGGCGTCCTCAGCCGAATGCTTGGCAGCTCGGGCTGCTTTATGAGCACCAGAGTACACCTGGGCCCACAAGGTTCTTGCTAAGTTCTTGCTAAGTTGGCTTCAAAAAAGTCACAACAAGAAACACTAAGTTAACGTATCAGACTATCAGAATAGTTTAGTCATGAGTTGATGAATCTTGATTGAGCTCAAGCACGCTATGCAACTTCTTTTCCACATCGTCTTTGCTGCGGCAAGTGCTGCTGCCAGTAGGCTGTGACTTAGGCTGTGACTTGCTTTTGTCCTTTGAGTGTGGTTTGGTCTGTGACCTTGTTTTGGGCTGCGACTTTGCTTTGGCTTTGCTCTTGGCAGCAGAACTTTGTGCGTTTCTTGCCTGCCTGTTTTTGCTCATAGGCTTAGGCTTGGGTTTGGGCGACACTTTTCCTGGTTTTCTCTTGAGGCCGTAACCCGAGCGTTCTGCAGCAGCACTCTTAAGACCACCACTGTCACTGTTGCTGTTGGTAAGACCCTCCCGCTCACAAGACGCAACTCCAACAGGGAGCACAGGGGTCTCAGAACAATGCTTCGCATTGTCACCTTCAGGCTGAGAAGAGTCACCAGGGTAACCTTCCTCAGAATCGGGTTCACATGGTGTTGGTGCACATTCCTCAACAGGGCCTTCGGAAACCTCAGGCACAGGTTGTTCTGCTGTCTCAGTGTTGATTGGCGTTGTAGGAGGGGTGTGCTCCGATTTGCCAGCAGCATCCTGACTATTTCATGTTAGGACACAAAGCTGCTCTAGAAGACATTCAGCAAAAAACCTGCAGCCAAGGCAAACTACATCCAGCCAGTCCTCAATGGCCTCTTCTGGATCACCTTCCTCGCCCAGGACACAATCAAAGTCTTCCTGGGCATAGCTGCGGCGAAGCTCCAGATCAGGGTGGTCCAAGTCCTGGCCAAAGACCCAGCAAGAAAACATGTTACTAGTCGGAGAGGTATGTTTGTGGAGAAGTTTTTTTAAGATGCATTGAAGCATTGTAACCATCCCTCCTCCTTCTTCTCAATCAACCCATCCAAAGAGTTGGAAAGCGTGTTGTTGAGCACGTCTTCATGAAAGTAAAAGTAATCCGGAATCTGAGTCTCCTGCAAAGAAGATGGGCTGCTTGATTTCATGGTGGGATACTTGGTGATGCAACATTTAATTGACCTTTGTGCATACGTTGCCACAAATCCTTCATCTAGCTTTCATGTCCAGGGTTGGAATATAGAGCAAACATATTGCAACAAGATGCTGACCAAATGCCGGCCAAAGTCAAACGCAAACGTTGATTCACAGAATGGTTGTGCCTGACTTCCCTGCCTGATCATCCTGAGACACATCAGGGTAGCCGGGAAGCCCTTCCTGGTTGTCAGGCCAGCCAAGCTCTTCCCCCACTGATTCGGACCTAAGTGCAATTGAATACATGTGGTTTTAGGCTGTTTGCTGCTATCAAATAGCTGTTTGGTAAACCCACATTTGGGCTAAGATGCGGAAGCATCGTCATGGGCTCGTCCTCCAGATAGCGGCTTTGTGACCTGGACATTCAAGTCCAAATTGCTATAATCAATTTCCTATTGAATTATGTTTGAGCAACATCAGCCCAAGGCCTGTAGGAATTGTAGCTGTCGGCGCCTTCAATCATGTACTCGAACGGCTTCGGTGTTGCCTGAACTGGGGGAATTGTTGGTGAAAGGTGGATGTGCTCAAAGTCAAGCTTTCCAGTAAGTTGTATGCAGGGAGCCACATTGTGATCACATTGGGATGAAAAAGAAACAACCCCCAAGCCTCAGGATGATCAGCATGCTTCTTGGTACTTGTAGCAGGCTTCTTCTGGCTCGTAACCCGCCCCCCTTTAGTGGCAGGACGCTTTTTGGACGGACCATCATCATCAACCAAGTCATCCAAGCCCTCAAGGCCATCAAAAAGATCATCATCTTGGTCATCATCATCATCATCATCTCCACCCACAGGGTTCACATCGTTGGCAACTTGTTCCTTCTTTTTCTTGTTTTTTCTTTCCACCACCCTTGGTCTCCTTGGACTTTCTCTTGGTCTCACCACTCCCTCCCTTATCCTGCGGCGAGGATTCTTCAGATGACTGAAATCGATCGGGCACGATATCTTGGAGGCGAGCATCACCTCAGACAGTGGCGATTCAAAATCTGTAAAAATTAGACTGGAAGCAATTAAGCGACGTTAATCTAAGGCCATTGATTACATAGCATCCTGACATGGTTATCAGTTGCATATGGTAGGCTGCCAGTGACCTAATTTCATTAAACCCCTACGAACATCTCATTGACACACCAAATCAAAGGCTAGCTTCTTGAGCTTGCGCCAGTGCTCCGTGTCGGTGCGGCAGGCTGAGGCTGAGTAGGTGGACCAGGAGGTCGAGCAGGTGGGCCACTGGGTCGAGAGACGTTGGCCACAGGTTGTGCGTCCTTCATCATCTGGCCCAAATCAAAGGCCTAGAAACAGGATGGAACAGTCTAACATTTCGGACGTGTTGGAACCCCGTTGTTCATATCAGCTATTTTTAAAGTTGACCTTAATAGTTTCACATAGTTTCACAAACTCATGTTGCAACTGAGAAACTGGGGGTCTGAAAGATGGAGCCTTTGGTGTCAAAATCTGAACATCCGAGTCATCACTGGCATGGCGAACCACCTTTCGACCAGCCATTGCTATAAAGCAACCGCCTAATACCAACTTCGAGACTACCTCCTGCTGATTAGCCCAGTGCCTTTGGCCATTAAGTGGCATGATCCGCTGTGCACCTGCTTGGAAGGCGAAGAGTTTCAGAGTGTTGACGCTGGAGGAGGACTGGGCACTGCTTTTGGTGGTCTGTCCTGCGCTTTGTTGTTCTAAAGAGTATCTAAGAATGCACTCACAGCTGGGGACGTGTAAAGGAAAACCGCAAATTCACAGTGACCAGTGGTTGAAACACAAAGTAACCTAATCACTCTTTGTTTGGTGAGGGGATAGCTGGAGTGCGGGCAAACAGCAGTCTGATTGCATCCCAAAATTGGATTGACACGGACAATCAATCCATAGTCCGGACTGGCTCTAAGCAAGCAGCTCGCCTGCAAAAGAACAGTCCTGGTGGCATCACGGCATCAAAAGAACATTGCAATCAACAATTCTTTTTTGTTACATTGTTGGATTACTCACCATTGTTCTGTCATGTTCTGTCACATGTGCCTGATGCTTTCCCCGACGCTTACCCTGCCCACTCACTCAGTAAAGCTTCACTACAGTTTCTCCAAGATCTAGAACACCAGCAGCGCAGGCAATGGGTCGAATAGGCACTATGGTTCTTGTGCCAGACGAGTTGTTCGAATCCAACCTGCCCGATCTGAAGCTCACCCAGAAATGTAGTTTTTACACATTATATAGAACTGAACATCTGAACATTCCCAGCGGTTCAATGGAGCCTGGCTCGCCAACCAAGAACAAGTCTGTTGGCTTTCTTGAACTTGGAAATATCAAGGATGGCCCCAAAGTTCTTGGCAGTCATGGTCCCAGCAGTCTCCCCCTTCTTGAGCTTTTTCTTTTTGGGCTCCCCCTCCCCATCTTGCGGCTTTGGAGGATCCAACAAGAAAGTCAAAGGCTTCTCCGGCTCGATCTTGTCGATTGAGGCGACTGTGTGGTGGGTGACTGCCAGCTTCACCTGACAGAGGTTCAACAGTGACGGTTGACCAAAACGTTTGTTGGACCAAACTCATTGTATCACCCATGTTTATAATATGTTGGGCATGGATCTTGACTATGTTTCGACGGTTTTTGACCAGCTGATGGGTGTGCATATGCTCCACTCATGCGCCTCTCCGGCGTCTTCAAGTTCCCGCAGGATAGTTGACAAGTACGTTGGTGCGTCAACGCATGGTAGAGAAGATAGGTGGTTTGGCAAAGTCTTCTTCTCAAGAAGGATGACGGTCTTCGCGGATGCACAAAAGGAGAACCATCTCCCACACGAGTCCTCCATTACCTCACTGGCATCCTCGGTTTGAGCATGGAAAGCTAGAGGGATCTTCTAGAGGGTGATGTTCCTTTTGCCCGCTATTGTGGTCAAAAAATCATACTGGGAGAAGATGAGCTTCGTTTCCGGTTCTCCAATCTCCGCTCCCGAAGCTGAACCTCAGAAAGATATAGGGATAGGTTGCAATGTGAAAGAATGTGAACAATTATGTGAACCAAAAAATGCCGATCAGACTTCATGTCACACTAGTGGGACAAGAAACAATTCACGGTGCATAAGGAACTGGTTTTTGCTGCGGGATGCCAAGTACAGCGGGGCACCGTCTTGCCCACACACCAACTCCGCAGTGTTGTTGATCTGGAATCGGAACCTGGACGGGTTGATGGAAGATGCGGGGGGCCAGTGTTTGCAGCCTGACATCATTACCTAGGGCAGCCATCAGCCCCTTTGCAACTATTAATTAGAACATAATAGAACCCTTGGCTCATGGTTGGGGTTGGCAATGGTTGACACTTTTGTCCTTCAAGTCCAAGTGGCGGCTTCTGCAAGTTCACCACATCAGCTTCCGTGGAAATCTCTGCAGATTCCAGCTTGATCCGCTTGTGAGGGCGATCGCCATCATCCTCATCGGCGGGCCTGATGAGATGCAAGGCACAAGGGTTGGGTTGGTTTGAGCAAGTTGGGGACATGGAGAGATTGTTAAACTGTTATCGACCTTTCAAAGTTTCAAGTAAGAACATCCCAGATTCCCTTTAAGACATCACCGGAAATATAAAGGACCACCAGCCCTAGCCTCTCTTCAGCTTCCTGCCAGTACTCCCCATCCGGATTGAACTTCTTGTTGTGGAAGTCAATCAGTGCAACTGTCTCATCCTTGAACTCAGTCTCCAACCACTTACTGGCTAATGACTCTAGCACGACTAGGCGGTCATGCTTCTTGATCGTCACCTGGTATTTCTGACCGGCCTCCTCTGGCTGTGTGCTTTGAAGTGCCCCAATCACAGGGGCATAGTTCGGAAACCCATTGATCTTGAGCTGACCGCTTCTGGCATCCTCGTACACCTTGTTTGCCACACGCTGGGAAAGCGCCTCAGGCGGCTTGTCGAGCACAATGCTTCCACAAAGGACACGTCGGCCTTCTGAACATTCCTGAGGGAAGGTTTGAGGGGTCAATGGGTGATTCTCCAACTTGCTCAAAGCACACAATTAGCTGCTCTGTAATATAGAACTATTTTTTTGCTGGCGGTGAACCACAGTCCTCCAACGATGCTAATGCTGGGAAGCAATCGTAGCAGTGAAGGTCGACAAGAGCAGTCGTGCGCACCGTTGTTGGCGTAAAGGCTGCCAAAGTCTTGCGGATGAAGTCTGTGCCCCCGGCCACCTGGGTTAGGGTCTATGGAAAAGGCTAGAATATTTCTCAGTCAGTTTCTCAGTCATGTAAAGAAGTAGCTCGGAATTATCAAGTTCCCTACAAAAGGGTGTCCTGTGGCAAGGAAACCAGATTGGACCAAGAAACTTGGCGCATCTCTTGGGCATCGGTGAATGCCCTGCCCAAGTGAGGAGTCGCTGATACAACCTGCCAAGACCCCAAGGCTGTGAATCAAAACCTGGCTCAAACCCTCTCTATAACTTAATATATTTAATCCTCCCATTGAGTCTTGTAAGGTTCCCCTATGTGTACCCATTTTTGCTTTTCACACCGAAACCAGAGTCCTCAAACCCTTTCATGACACATTTAATAGCTCCATGCTTTTTGGACAAGCAGGTGGACAGAAAGTTTCTTTTTTGACAAGACACATCAGGTTTAAACATCTCTGCACGGGGTAGCATGGAAACGTCACGAATGACCCCATGCTTCCATCCAGCGGATGACTTGAAAAGGTTCAGCTTGTCCCGGTGGATGATGGCTAAGCCATGGATGGCTGCATCCCGCTTCCCGTACACCGTTGCCTTCAAGGCTTAGGCTTTCAAACACAATTTTTGTCATAGAAGTGATACGCGCGTCAAATGTTTTGTAAACCCAACTTCAACAAAACTGTTTCTAGAAGCTATGCTAAACTCAGTTCACCAAAAACACTTTCTTTGCAGTCCAGCCTTGTCAAACACCCATGTCATGTTCTTCACGGTAAGGCTGCGACTCTTTGACGACAACGCTTTCCTGGGAGATTTCCATTTTTCACAAGAAGACACTGGTATGCAAAATCACAGTGTAGGTTCCCCAGACTGGAGAATCTCCAATCTGGAGAACCTGAGAACCTGCATTGTTCTAATCCAAAGTTCCCCATTCCGAGGAGCTCGCTCAATTCTTTGAAATTATTGATGTAAAATCTACAGATTTGTTTCCTAAGTTGACTGAATCAGTTCAAGCCCATTGAGAGCTTGCACTTCCTGCGTTGTTTTGATTCATGAAACCGAGTAGGATTCTTTATGTTCTCACCCCAAAAAAAGGCAGCAACACCAACTGCAAACCTCGCTTGTCCATTTTCTCGCTCAAACTTGATCTCGTGAGTTTGCTATTGGATTGCATTCGCAACCTGTACCCCAAATCATTCATGGCATAAATCAAAGGCCATGAAGAAGCCCCAACTCGCCATCGTGGGCATCAACACTGCTACAACAACGCTTTCACTTGTTCAATTTGACCCGCTTTGCGGATCGCTCAACCTGCGCCTGAACCACACAGTCAGACTCGGTTATTGCCTTTCGTTGAATTTCTGAAAGGCTATTGAACCACTGCCAGGCCCATGACTGGACCCCCAGGATCGCCGCTTCTTTCGTCCTGGTAGTGCTGCGCCCACTGGATGCCGCTGCTGCCCCACTTGTCGAAAAGCTAAGGGACTTGCTTTTCTTACCGGATTCATCTCTGAACCCCCGTGGTAAATAGCATTGGCAAAACTCAGACTGGCCCTGGCCCGTAGGAGCACCAAAATACGGCTTGACCCCAGGAGGCCAATTGCCCTCAGGCCTTCCCCGAGCATTGTGGCTGGAGTGCTCTCCATCTTTGTCTGCTCGTTCCTTGGGTCTTCAAACAGCAGGCTCAGTATTAATCTATTTACAACTGACCAAAACCACAAATCAGCACACGCATCCAGAAAGTAAGAAGTTCAAATAAAAAGCAACTCAAACAAATAATATTTGGTTGGTTTCCAAAAATGTATTTTCCCAAAATGGTGGTGCACTCATCGCAATTCCATGGGGGCCTGCTTCTAAATCTCCTTTAAACTCCAACCACACTCAAACCACAGGGATGTTAAGCATGAAGGCATGTCAACTGCAAAAACTGTGAGAGGTGTCTAGCGCGGACTTTTCAGGGGCCTGTTGAGCTGTTGTTGCTGCTACTGCTGCTGCTGGACTTTCCCATTTTTGTTCTCAGAAATCTTCAGGACGATAACATAGGAAGGATGTAAAAGAAGCGGACTCAAAAGATTTGGATGTTGGATGGGCAAATGGTCAAGAAATGGACAGTCGTCTAGCGCGGTGCTAGCGCGGATCTAGCGCCAGCCTAGCACAAAAATATCCTTCGATTTCTTGATCCTGTCAGATTCTTACTTTTGCTGCTTGCTTGTCTTCTTGTTCTTGTTGTGCATTATTATTCTTAATATTCTTCTGCTGCTTTGTTGTTCTTTTTCTTGTCGTGCTTCTTCTTTTTCCTGCTCTCTGCTTGTTTCTTTTCCTGCTCGCTCATCCTGTTATGAAGAAATCTAGCGCCAACCTAGCGCCAATCTAGCGCTGCCTTGCTGTATCACCATAGTCTGCTGGGGGCCCCCGCTTCTAAACGAAGACTTTACCACGCATCTCTAACCTAAAAGTTTACGTTTATCTATATTTTTTGAATAGGGCTTTTTGGGCGCAGTCCATTTAGGTAAGTAATCAACGTGCTGCACACATAGCATAACAATTTCTGCAAGGGGCTGTGCCACCATCCATCAACCCCTCTGCCTCTGAGTTCATCATTGGCACATCTGCGGGCTCAGCTGGTTCTGGGTCTGGCTCCTTCTTGTCGTCCAAGAAATCAACAGTCTGCTGCCACTGTTCGTCCTCGGAGGCACCATCCAGGCAATCAAAGTCCTGAAGCTGGAAGTCGAACCCTGTTTGGAAGAAAACACTTTCAATCCCACTGGTTTTGTCATAATTCCACTGGCTTTTCTTAAAGCAATGTCTTTTTGAGGTCCAACAAACGTGGACCTATTGTTTTTGCACTTGCAGAAACCACTGGCATATATATATATAAATGCTTGTGATGCATTCGGAAAGCAAGTTTGATGTCGTTCCATGCATTGCAGAGAGAAACAAATTTACAAGTAAAAATATCTAATAACAATTAAACCAAACAAACAACATCATCCTGCGGATGAGTATTGACACATAGCAACCATAAACAGATACACACTCAGACACGCAAACAGGCAAGACATGGCCCCCAGCTTCCTTGCTCTCACCCTCAGGCTCTGCATCGGCAGACTCTTCACCTTCACCTTCCTCTTTCTTCTTTCTGGGCTTGGGATCTGGGATTGCCTCCAAAACCTCTTGGATGTAGGACTCTTCGCAGCCCATTGACTTCAGGAAGACCTCGACGCGCAGCTTGTGAGTGAGAGTACCGCACTTGATTTTCAAGCATGACATCAGCTTCTGGAGCACCTGAGCACTGATGCTCAGGATTCCATGCCGGGCGGTGTATTGAGGAAGGCTCATGTACTCCCCAACAGCTTTCCAGGTCAAAACTCCGTTCTCTTCGACAAAGGGCTGAGCCAGGCAAGATTCAAAGCTCTCCAACGAATTTACCGTCAGCAACTCAATCGAATGGAGGAGCATGAAGCTGTCTGATCCCTCATGATGGCAAGCAAGGCGAATTGTCTTCACAGAGAAGGGGCCCGAACGAAGAACCAAACGTGGAGTTCCCTGACTGCCCTTTTCCCGCAAGAGAGTATGCTCCCCCACCAACTTCGCGATCCACAGCTTCTGGTAGCCGTTCAAAGCTGCAACTTTCTTGTCGCTTGCATCACCTTCAGCTTGAGCATAGACAGACTGCAACGTCTGGAGTAGACGCAGCCTGTCACACAAGACATGTCCCTTAGTGAGTCCAGTGGCCTTGGCCTTAGTCAGGCCCTGAGATGGGATGCCCAGCGTCTTGTCCCCGACTCGAAGGGCTGTCAGAACCTGAGTTTGAATCTGCTTGCGAGCAATGGGGGTTTGCCATGCATGGTCTGGTATCTCCAGCGTCTTGCACCCTGAGCTGCGGATCTGTGCTGACTTCATCGACATCACATGGAAGTTGCAAGCAGCCTGCTGCTCCTTCTTTGCTCCTCTGCGAGCTCCGTCTCTGAGATCGTTGAAGTAGAGCTCACAAGGCAAACTGCTGAGCAACGAATTCGTAGCCTTGCCATCCTTGGCTGACATTCCCAAGATGCACCTCACACATTTGAGGAAAGGGGCCGCCTCTGGCAAGTGCAAGCGCTGCGGGTTGAATCCAAAGAACCTCACATGAATGAGAAATGATCACAGGTGAAGGAAAGTAAAACTGAATGATTTACCTACCCGCAAACATGATTGTTTGATAAAATATAATATATATATATAACTTAGGCACATAACTTCAATTACATATCCCCAACAGTGCCTGTCTATCCTACAACAAGGGACCGAGGACAGACCCAGTGATTTGAACCGGGGCACTGCCAGAGAATGTCCTGTCCCACCTGTGTGTACAATCCAGTGGTCCGACTTGTGTATTGTCGTATGTAAACATTTGAGTAAAACAACTTTGGTGTAATTCCTGCAGCTTCAAGGGACTCAGCTTTGGTGAACAGGTCCCGGTAGGGTTGCCATCGAGTATGTCGTAAAAAGTCATGCAAGACATTGCCTTTTGAATCCAGCGTGTCCACGACAGACTTCACAAAGTCCCACTCCTGCTGCATTCGCTTCAACAAGTCAGGCAGGAGAGACTTGTCCAATGCAACAGCTGCATTCCATGGCATTGACTTGTGGAAGGTGTCCAAGTCGGTGAGCGCACTCAATTGAGACAGTAGCAAGCTGGCGTGTAGACAAAGTTTTTCAGTGCACTCATCATCTGACCCAACAGCATTGATGTACTCAAGGCTCTCTTTGGAAATGCCTGCAGATATTGTTTTCCTCGGATTCACCAACAAGAGGCTTGAGCAAACAAACAAGGCTGGACCCTAGCCACCTCCAAAACACAGTAAACTACAAAACAACAGACTAATAGCTGTAGCTTGCGTCAAAGCCTCGACACGAGCTTCTGAGTGCTGCGGCCACTTGCCAGGTATACTGCTTGCTGCACAGAAGCATGAGGTTTGTTTTGCATGTCTCGATCCTGAGGCTATGCAAACCACACGTTTGTCAGTCGTGCGTTCTCGCCCCAACATGGTGCTGATGGTGCCCCGTGGAAAATTGGTGAAACCATAAACCATGTCAATGTCATCCCTTTAAAGATCACAATAACAAATCAAATAGGTGGAACTCTTGCTGCTTAAAACTGTCCGAGCCACAAGCTCACCCAGGTATTCGCGAAGAGGCCTGAAGACCAAGATCACACTTCGCAGTTTGTCTTGGTTCGAGTCGTCTGCCAGCACCTTCAAAGTCACTAGGCAAGCCGGCAGGTTTAACATTCAATTCTTGGAAACACACTTTCAACACCACAAACAAACTCTTTCTTGGACAAACAGGCACGCTCCAGGCATTCGCACGGTGAGAGAAGGTCGACTCAGAAGATACATCACCACCACCATTTAGCGACCATGGTGATTTGCCTTGACGAAAGAAGGCAAAAGCATGGACCATGAGCTCCAAGTGCCACCGCTGGTTCCATCGAGAGCAGTGCTCGTGAAAGGACATCCAACGATTGTCTGAATGCTCGGTGCTGAGGATGTGATTGCTACCTCAGTTGAGAAGTCACCACTGGCCAGTGTGTATCGTATCCGCTTTTCAGGTTTTTACTATAACTCTAGTGGCACCAAAAGCACGACCCCCACACAATGTATATATTATATATACAAATTTACATCCGGCAAAAAAAACCTTAGAGCCTTGGAAACTGTTTCCCACCGGTTTGCACCCCAGAAACACTATGATACACGTGATTAATGCAACTAGTTTGTTGAGGTTGCAAAATCTTAGTGCACAACACACATCCTGGATGCGCGTAGCCTTCTGCAGGAGTTCCACTAGTTGGTTGACAGTAAACTCATCCTCTGACACGTTGCGGTCCCTGGCCACACCATGCAACCACATTTCAACCAATTCCTGGGCTTCGCCAGATTGGATGGCTTCCAACAAGCACTTTCTCGCATCTTGGATCTCTGCTCCAAACCGACCCGAATTGAACGGTGCTCTGCTGATGCGAAACATCTTGGAAGCCTTGCGCAACAAAGCTTTCACTTCTGCGCACGATGCATGGTTGAGCGCCTGGGCTACTCTGCGGTTGATACGGTGGAAGACATCAGGCCACCACAGACACCAAGCACCATGGTTCACAGCGTGCTGGAAAGCCAGTATGCCCTCAGTGGACTCGGCCACACCCACACTCAACCTACATCAAACTTAAAGTGCCCGGGGGAAGTTGAGAACTCATTACAAGTCAAAAGGCATCAAAAATTTGTTGATCACCAGGTGGCTTCCGTGCCTTCATCGGCACTGAAGATCAGCTTGTCAAACTGCTCAGAGAGGTACCAATCTGGACTCGCCTCAAAGGAGTCAAAGTTGTAGGTGAAGTAAGCAGATCGGCCATCAAAGATGTTGTACATTCGCTTCTCCTCTGCCAAGAGCTCATGGCGTTCGCCTTTTTGTCCGGCAGGCAAGAGTAAGTTCCCTGGCATGCAAGACTTGAGGCTCCATCCTGGCGGCATCACATGCCGGATTGCATTGCAAAGGCCGGCCAACAAAGCCTTTGTCGCATGCCGGTATTGTCTCCAACTGAAGGTATCTTTGGGCAAAGTGACCTTCTCGCCTTCTTGGGTAAGTGCAACCTTCTTCAAGGAACTTGTGAAAGCGGTCAAAGCTTCTTGGGTCACGTCTTCATCTCGCTGCGGCAGGAGTTGCGTTGGTCCAGGGAACTGCACACCATCCAATCGAAAGATCACTGACAGCACCTTTGTCATACCCAGCATGCTTGTTCATGGGTTGGTGGGAGCGTGTAAGTAACGCTTCAGTCATGTTCTTTGAAACTCTGAGTCTGGGAGGGTTTGGCAACGGAACATGTGTGGAAAGCTCTTACACCGATCGTTAAACTACATCCAATGTAGTTAAGATGCGTGCTCTCCGGCAACTGTTGCACAGTCAAAGCACACGTTAATGATTCGCAGGTCTGCATGCTCCATGTAGCTGGACACAAACTCCGCCGCTGCAACCAGGCCACGGCAGCAGTACTCTGAAGCCGTGCGTGACGCTAGGTCAGAGTTCTTGGCAACCACTCCCAGCCTATGCAGGGAAACTTCGTTCTTTGTAGAGACGAAGCCGCCACCTTTGGAGGTGAATCGGGAAATGAGAGAGAGCTCCAAAGCCTTTGACCCCCGTCTTCGAGAGTCAGGCAAGAAAGGATGATTCTGCGACTCAAGGGTTGGGTCAGGACATTCTTTCCGCATGTTGGCCTCAACAGCAAGCTCTGCCTGTTGGCTCCATGAATGGACCAGGCAGCGGGTCAAACGCTTCAAGCCTGGATTCTCAAGCGCACATTGGTCAACACGTAGCCTGAAGATTGTCACCAGACAAGAGACCAAAGACATCTCATCGCTCACATTGTGGCGCAAGACCTTCTTCTCAAACCTTCACAGGGACCACCGCCCAAACCAATAAACTATATAAATATATACATAGAACAGGATGTCAGGCAACAAAGCAATACACTAATTCTTCAATTCCCTACATTGTTTGTTTTGCTTTGAACTTTTATAACCTCCCACTCGGCCTGGAAAAGTTGAAAGCAATGGACTTGAACACTTTGCGCAGCTGCTCAATGCTCACCTTGTTGTCAACCACATCAAGCACGACTTCAGAACGTTTTCCCAAAGGGCGCAATGTAGTGCTCATAGAAATAAACTGATCAAGGAATTCTACGACGCTGAGGCATTGCTGCACAGTACTCGCTTGAAGTGCTGTGGCGGGAAGAACAGATGCCAGCACAAGCAACATTCCAAGAGGCGTCGTTGCATCAAGGGGTAGGCAAGCGGATCCGGTGGCCACGCTGCCCTTGTAGGTCGAGCGTCTCAGGACCTGGATTGATGGTGTGCTTCTGATTCAGATTATAACTGCGCAAAACACAGCGGTCTTATTTGCAATTTCTCAAGCCAGACCCTAAAAGAGCGTTCCGCCACTACGTGACATCTGCTAAATCAAAGTGAGTAAGTGAATGCATTCCCGCCACAATACTGCAGGCAAGAAACATGTCGGATTCCAATGCCCCATTCTTCAGCGATTTCGCAAGCTGTGCAGTTCCAATTCTTAGTAAACCATTGGGTGAAGGGAGTCTTCAACGTGTACCACTGAGAGGTCGCGAGGTAGCATCGATACCCCTCGTACGGCTCTTGAACCTGTGGCAAAAAGACTCTATCACACAAACCACCTGCCAAACAAATCCTCTCAAAGGCCTAGGAGTTAAAGAAACAGTTAGGCTACTGTGTACATCAACTACCACGACTACGACCGAGAGTTGTATTCACTGGCCTGGACGACAGTCCAGACTGTTCCATTCTGACACAGGTACCAGAACTTGTGAGGGACGATGGCAGCAGAGCCATTCTTTCCTGAAGAAGAAGATGAGGCATGTGAGGCTGTTGACAAACGCGTGCTGGCAGGCACTTGTGCTTCGCCCTTCTCACAAGGCAAAGCTGGCCATGGACCGAAGACCATCTCTCTTCCGTGTATGACTTTGAGGCTAGCAAGATGCTCCTTGGCCTCATTCATCAAAGCTCGGAAATCCTGCTCGTCCATGGTTCCCTTGCTCTTCGAAATGTTTGTCCATCGCTGAGCTATGTTTGCACGCACAGCATCCAAAGCCTTCTGGCTGCGCTCATCAAACACTGCTTCACCCTCCTCGTTGGCCATGATCGGAATGTCAGAGAAGAGCCCAGATAGTTCATGTTCCCATTCGGCCTGAAGGGGAACTCAAGACCAACCTGTCACAACTGGTACTCGCTTCATGCTGAAACAATACCACAATTAGACAGCATTACATTTGCAACTTGCAGTCCTGAGGCTGCAATTTCAATTGTTCAGGTCCACGGTCTGCCCTCTCCATGCGTGTATCCCCATCAGGTTCGTCCCGATGGGAAGCCATGGCCCCACACGCGTTTGCCTACTCCCCTAGGCAAAACACAAAACACAGCCAGCAGCTGCACACAATGCTTTTATCTATGTACGCAACTGGAAGAAACATTTGCTTCACTTCAACCTGAAGACAAAGGTAGCAACTGTCGAAGGAGCCATGTCTGAAGGTGCGCAAATGCAAACACCCAGCTCAAACCCCTTCTGGACTCTAACACCTTCCCATTCGAGAAGCTTCAGTCACGGACGAAAACCCATTTGGCTACACTCTCAGGTCTTATCGTTTGTGCAGATTATAGCTCATTGAATTACGGTTGCTAGGAAACCTTTAATTTGAAGTCAGCTACATTCTACAGCCACTGATCTAATTAACTACTAGCCAGCAAATGACCAGGCTTTTCGTTCTGTACAAGCTCCTCCAGGAGGCAAAGTTTGCAATCACAGCCAAACCAGTGTTGCGCATCTGTGAAACACTCTGGCGGGATGTTTGCAAGGTCGAGGCGGCAGCCAAAATGCATCAAAGAGTTTGCTCCAGTAGAAGGCGAAGGCACCAAACTACGGTCACCATGTTTGGCGCTACTCATCCCGGCAGCATTGGCGGGTGGGCAATCTGGACTCCCCGCCTCCAAGTCGATGACAATGGTTGTACAACCATTTGATTGAAGGTGCCCCTGTTGTTGGCGCTGCTTCTTCCTAGCTGGAGATTCAGCTATTGGCAGGATGACTTGTCGCTTCACACATGCCATTCGGGAGTGGGACCGCTCAAGGAGCAAATTGTAATAACAGGCAATACACTAGCAATTGGGCCAGTGCTTTGAGCAAAGCAACGTTTTCGCTGGCATGCAGCCAGTTGCATATCACATGACATGGTAACTTGCAACTAACTAACTTGCTCAGTCAGTCCAGGAATCCTTACTTACTTAATGAAACCTGTTGACCTACAACAACAACGAGCAAGCTCGAGAAGAACGATGGGCCTCCAGAAGAACGTTGCTGGCAAGAAGAACGATGGTGGTACACAGAACGATGCACACACGCCCTACAAAGTGCCTTGGATACTGCCCAGGACCAACCGAGTTGTTCAACTTCTCGCATGGGTCATCCAAACACTGTCTGCCAGAATGGCTTCATTTTTTTCCTAGAAGAACGATGCTCCGCAAGCAAACCGATTGTCGAGAAGAATGCAAATCACCCTTCCCAGAGCTTCAAAACCCAGTCTTCCCCATTCTTCTCCCCGTTGCCTACTGATAGTTTTTTTAGATGAAAAACCTTCGGGAAACTTTTGGGGGAACCCCGACCCCCCCGACGAAGAACGATGCCACCGAGAAGACCGATGCACCCTGTGGAGAACGATGGGAAGCCCTGGCAAGGCCTGTGCCACAGGTCTGGCCAGCAGGATCTTATTTTACCGCTCATGTTCCCGCGCGGTACCAAAATCAGCAGTTGAGCAGGCACCTGACATCAGGTGGCCTTTGACCCGGGTGCTTCGCTACCTTGTAAAGTGTGAAAAACATTGCTCATCCAAGCTAGCCTTTCGGCTTGCCTTCTAACAGCTTTGCTTTCTGTGTCAGAAGCATCTCTAGCCTGCCAAGGAGTTTCAAAGAACTCTCGCAAGTCCCACAAGCCAGGGATGAATGAATTGCCTACGTACTAACTCATTCAATCTGATCCACTGTCAGATAGATTAACCTCTGGTAAGCTCAGCTGTTTGGACCATGCCCCCAGCTCCTCAGTGGTACTATCGGCTCCTCCCTGGTCATCACGACCAGCCGGCGGAGTAGGTGACGTACGAACAGGCATGGCCTTTGGGCGCGGCTGGTCATTGCGAAACATCTCCAGTTTATCCGTGTAGCTCTCCTGCAAGGGCTTGCGGTTGAGACTGGAAGTCCTTTAGTTCCAGTGAATTGTATAATGTTGTAACACATACTAAACAATGATCGAGTATGTCCACCACATCAAATTCATTTAACTTAACATCACCGCCAGGAGAACAATGTACACGAAATGAGATCCCAAGTTGTTTGTATAATACCTTGGCAGGCATAAAGACTTGAGGGCAACCTGGGGGGGTCCGGCTGAAGGTGGAAGCTTCTGTTGCAAACCAAACGCCCCAGCCCTGTCCATGTCGCGAGAGATGCGATCACACATCTTCACTGCGGATCTCCGTCCCACCCATGTCATGCATTGGAGAAGCTCCTTTGCCTCTGCCCCTGCGGCCTTCTCCTCTGGCATCCACCCCTCCATGATACCCTCGAGGAACGAGTCTGCATCTTCCTTGGGCCAATGGTAACACTCTCAGAGGCTAACTGTTCAATCCCCCTACCAGTCAGGGAAAGTCACTTTCAACAACTTCTGTAGCATGTTTTTTGCGAACTGTTTTCTATTTGCAGCTACGAAACAAATCCTTCTGCAGCCACAACCTTCAAAAAGAGATTGCGGTCTGACATCTGGGGAAGGTAGTTCTCAAGCTCGGGCTTGAAGAAAGTCGCAACCTCGTCCTCACCCAGGACGACAGAACTTGGAGGCACAGTAGTGCTTGCTCCACCCCTGCTGTGCGTGTCTCCATGGCCACGGTCACGGTGATCCTTCTTATTCTTTTTGAGAGCAAAGCGACCACCACGAAGCCCGCTGGACTCAGGGTTGCACAGGACATGAGACAGAGGAACTGGCACTAGTACTACAGCGTGGCTCCTACTTTAGACTTTAGGAGGACGCTTCGTGGAAATGAAGTGAGACACACTACTTGGACAAGGAAACTCCTCTCATCTCAACTCTCTCAGCTAGTCACCCTCTTCACACTCCTGGCCTCAGAGTCGGTGGATTCGGATGAACTGGACCTGGACTTGGAACGCTTGGGACGCCTCTCGCGACTGCCCTTGTCATCCACGTCCTTGCGCTTCTTCTTCTTCTTCTCGGACTTCTTGTCAGACTTCCTCTCACCCTTGCCGGAGCCCGGCTGATTTGTCTTATTCTGGTCGTTCTTCATATCAGCACTCGCTTCGTTCTTCGCCTTGCTGATATAATCCTTGAGATCTGCAAGCCATGATGCAGCATCTGGAGCCTTTTGATGCGTCTCGATCTCGTTCATAATTGACCTGCCATTCATGGATGCTAATTGATTCCAATTATTATTGATATAAAAGGTATAAACAAGAAAAAAATATATATATATTTTTTTTCAACCTTCTGCTCTGCGCAACCCTGCCCACATGTGTGAAGTATAAAGGGCAAAAGGCTTCTTTTCCTACATTTTAGACCTCCTTGACACTTTGAATTTAACCCGTGTGTTTTTGCTTTTGAGCCTGGCCTGCGCACAGACACCAGGCTAGTGTGTTGGCTGACAACGCTCCAGTTGTCCATTCCAGCAACTGGCAGGGCGATGCAAACGGAAATCAATCTGTCTCTCCAACAACCAGGGGTATGGTGCGGGCCTATGGTAAACATACTAAACTCTTGCCTTTAAAATCACACATGATTTCAATCGGAGCTGATCACTACTACTCACCCCCCTTCACAATACTCAATTCAACACATAATTGTTCAGCAGCTTGCCGGCCTTTGGACAAGACCAGGAGTAAACGATCCATCCAGGCCTTTTCGGCCCATGAGATCTGTTGGGATAAACGGATCCTGGCTTGAAGGCCAATCTCAGTTCCATCGGTGTCCTGGAGCTTGAGAGTGCTCAGGTGCTTCTTGTGGACTTCAAGAAGTTCTCCTCCCATTGCAAAGAGCGTCTGGCACGTGAGGTTGGAATGCGTCTGCGCTAAAATTGTCGCTAGCTGCGACACCTTCAGGTCAGAGATGCGACATTGCCCACGGCCAAGCTGCAAGGACTTGGCTTTCCTGGGCAAGCCAAGATTGGCATCAATTATTTGACTCTGAAGTACTCTATTTATTTGATTTGAGTCCATAAATAGTAGAATTGTTTAAGTGCGACGGCTTCGAAAACTCAGGCAGAAAAAAAGCAACTCGCCACCTTACCTTGGGGAACACTGGTGACCCTAATGACTCAAGCAAGACAAAGCAACAGTCCAAATGTAGAGGCAATGCCTGCCACCTCCTTCATGACCTCCGGATTGTCTGCCTCTAGATTCTCACTAGTAGAAGAGCTAGAAGAAGACTTCTTCTTATCTTTCGATTTCTTGTCCTTCGCCTTCGACTTGACCTTGTCCTTGTCCTTCACGGTAACATCCTTCTCCTTGGACTTCTTGCTAGACTTTGACTTGCCCATGGACCAACGGACGCGGGACTGCAGGCCACTGGCAAACACCTCGAAATTGAGCCGACCTTCAAAGCAAATACTGTCCGGACGCTGCTACTTCAACACCCCATACGATTCTTCAAATGCTTTCAACTCCAACATCGGCCACAACAGCCACACCTAACTACAAAAGAAGTCGAAAAGTCAAAAGTGACACACCGCGTCTACTTCCTCCCTCAAAAGGTCAATGACAGCTTGTCTTCTATATTACTGTGGAGGTGAGCAATACCAACCCTATCCACAAGCATGCTTTTGGAGCGTCTTTGCAAAGTAAAATATGCTGCTGGCTCTGTGGGTTGCCCACAGGAGCAGTAGCACCACAACA